AAATCTGAAACTGGATTTAGGAGTGGCTCAATACTGGCTGGCCATATTCGGGCCGGAGTTGGAAATTGATTTCTGGCCCAAATACTCCACTCCACAACCGGCCCTCATCTGGTTTGCCAGAGTCAAGCCAGTGCCTCCTTTGCCACGCCTGGGCCGTGTTCGGCCCACATGCGTTATGCCATTGCCGACACCAGGCCAGCTGTGCCGGCTTCATGCCGAAGCCGGGCCAGATGCCTTTGCTGACTGGGCATTGTCCCAAAATTCCTTCTAACAAAGTTAGTTAAAAGTGAAAATATATTTATATTTTTTTTTGTCCAGACTGTTTTTATTTATTTATTTTGGATGCAGCTTTTTTTCTACATTTGATTGTTTTCATGTGTCAAATGTGGCTGGTGGGCGCCATTATCATTGCTTCAAAAATAGCGTCGACGGTTCTGCAGTACAGATATCGCACTCAATTCAGGTGTCTAGTGCTGATTTACTGCCACCTGCTGCCTTCAGTGCAAAAACACGGCGGCAAATTTAAAGAACGGTGAATGGAAAGTGCAAATGAGAGCAAAAAAAAGTGCTTTTCACTTTGGTTATTTTAAGAATATAGTTTCTGCCACTCCTCCCACACTACCAAGTGGGAGGAATAAGAAAAATGGATTAACCACTGATTAAAGTGAATCCTGTAATGAGCTTTACTTACACTGACATAAAAGTTGACCAACATCCATTCGCATGTTTTGCTTTCCACAGCTAGTGTAAGACACAGTGGTGGTGTTAAATCCCACAGGCTAGAAACAAACAAAAACATTCCCATGAGCCACTGAAAACAGGAAATTCAAAATCCCTCAAGTCAAAATCAACTGTCGCCATCATGAATCAAATGTGCGTTTCGAGACTTTAACTGTCTAAAAAATATCAAAGTCAATTGTATAAGTACAAATATCGAATTACGCTTTTGTTATGTGACGCAAAATGAACAAACAAAAGCGAAGAGAGGAAGAATTGCTGAACGTCACGGGCTATTTATGTGTCCGAAAAATCCCAAAGCCTTTGCCCCCCCCCCCCAAAAAAACAATATTTTTTACCAAAATTGCAATGCTTTATGCAGTATAATGTATACAGTAATCAACAACAAAATGAACTCAACAAAATTTGCTGGGTTGTAATATTTCATCCGTAGTAGGACCCGCCCGCCCCTCCCAAAACCATTTACTGTACTTGAATACCGCTGTATTGTAGCATGTAAATATAAAAACAATAAACAGTAAAAGAGAATATAAAAGAGGAGACAGGTTTTGTCAAACGTAATTAAGCTGAAAGTGACGAGCACGCGCGCGCACAAAAAAAAAAAAAAAAAAAAAAAAAAAACACACGCACGCTCACACGCCGGCTGCATTTCAAGCAATCTGCTAGTTTTCCCAAGTCGTGAGCCAAACGACCAACCAGCACGTGTACTAAGAGATCCCGATGTGTTCGCTTTGTTCAGCGTGGGAGACAGACAGGTCAATATGGGCTCTTTCACCATAACCACGCTCCTGCTCACATTGGCCTGAGCATCCAACTGGACAGGAGAGAATGTTCCTCAGCATTCTACTCTGGAGGTTTACAAATCGTACAAATGAAAGAACAACACGTATTTAACTGTAAAATGAACTTTTATCACATTCACATGGCAATGAATTTAAATTTGATACGTTTATATGATACAGTACAGGAGTGGGTGATGTACATCCTTCAGTACGTGACTTAATGTTACGTCTGTACACACACGTGGCATATAGAACAGCTGCTGATCACTGTTTCAAAAACCGTTGACAATTTGTTCAATTAAAAAAAATGCCCAACACAAGAATCCAAAATGATTTAACCCAAACAACAACAACAAAAAAGAACAGGTAATTGCCTTGGAAGTCTGCTTGGACTTCAATCGAGATTTGTAAATGCCATTAGGAAACTGAACTCAATTCAGTGAGTAAGAGTCTTCTAAGTATGAAGGAAACAGGGAGCTATTATAACAAGATTACAAACATGTACTGGAGTCGCACTTACGAGAATGAAGTCTTAATATTAGGGCCAAAATGGTGTAATATGAGAGGAAAATTTGCGATTTAATGAGTGCGCGGTTACAAATGTATGCTCTCATTAAGGCTATATTCTCATACCATTTCCAATTTATGTAGAGATCCTTACGTTACACTTTGTAAAATGACTATTTACCTCATCCAATACAAAAATATTACTTCTAATTGTGTTTCAATCTTGTATTTTTTATTTGTTTTGTCTTGTCAGTGTAGCCCTTCCCAGAGCTTGACAGATTCACCGTTTGTGCCAATTATTTTCTCATCAGTGACTCACGTCTAAATAACAAAAATGAATGTACTGCGAAGCTTGCGGGGCTTGCTTGCATTGCTCAGAGCAGAATATGACGCTTCAGCTTTTTTTTTTTAAATGTTATTATCTGCATAAAAATGTACCGTTCTCTTACCATATCTACAATAACATTTTGGGAGCTTTGAAAATACACAATAAAACTTTGAAAAACTGTTAAGTCTCATGTAAACGTATGAATTCTTCCAAGTACTGACTTCCATCCAATATGGACCTAAACAAAAATAAACCTCAAACATATCCAAGGCATCCTTAATATAGCGAGACACCATGAACACACTTTGATAACAAGCCGAACATCAGAGGATCGTTTCAGGCTTACTCGGCAACAATAAAAATGGGGAGTGATCGCTATTTCGGTTTCTCCCCTTGACACTACATAAAGAATCTGTGGAAAACAGTAGACATGTTTGTACCAAAGTGTCCAAAATTTGAGCACAAAAACAATCGAAGCCACAGAGCGCAGATCGGGTCACGTGACTCTTCATCAGGAGGGAAACTAAGTGATTAATTAACTATCGTCTATGTCTTGAGGGAAAATACAATAATTCATTCAATAAAAATGCACGCACGCACGCACGCACGCACCCACACAGTAAACACTTTTCTTGTGTGGACCAGCAGCCACAGAAACATGTCCTCACCCAAAAAGAAAAAAAAACTTTTAAACATCTACGCACACTTTGAGTGGTTCACCACAGAGAAAACAGACAGGCCTTTCCTCTTCAAAGCAGCAGCATCCTTCCCTCCCGTTCTTCTTCTTCAACAAGGATTTTCCAACTTTTGTCGTTTTTATACTTCCACGTGCATTACAATTCGGCACACACATCGCGAGACGTTCCAGGTATCGGGACACAGCGAATGTTGGGCAGTGTCAGAAATTGTTCAGCTGGTAATGGCGCTGCCCAAAGGCTGCCAACTTCCTTGTTGTGAGATGACACGGAAAGAATTTTCCGTTCCGAAAGTGTACACAGAAAATAGTTCCAGTTGAATTACGGAAAGCCGTCCAAGGTTTGATTCAACAACCTTGATGTCAAGCTACTGGTCGGTGTACTGTTTGTCTTGACTAGTTTGGACAAAGAGCATCCTCGTATGAGGGGCATTTAATAAATAGGGTGACTTTTTCGGCATAAGGACTTCTAATACAAATAGAAGCTTACTTTTTTTTTTTCAACGTAGTCTCTCACGCACTGCCGCACACTTTTCCCATCTATGCACAAGCTCCCATATTCCCTCGGTGTAAAAATGATGTCTGTTGGGTCCCTTAACTCTTTCATTCCACAAGACGTACTTGTACGTCTTTTTAAAATTAGGCCCCACCTACCAAGTACGTACTTGTACGTCTAATTCTTTTTTTTGCGTCATAGAGAGGAGGAGGGTCTGATGCAATATGTGAATGAGAATAAGCCGTTTGCATTGTAAATCATGTAAAAAAGCGACCAGTAGGTGGCAGTGGTGCCTCACGTGATTGAAATGCATGCTTTTACAAAAAGCTCTTTTTCTCCGTTTTTTCCCCAGGAATCGGCATTTTCATGAAACTTAGCCATTTTGTAATGCCGATTGCTGAAAAATGGAAAAAGATTTTTTTCTGCTGAAAGAAGAGAGTCCAAACTTCATTTTGGTAGGCTCCATGTTTATATAGCATTAGAACCAAATAGTCTGTGGGCCTTGCAAGATCAGTCAAAATCCAGTAAAACGCTGGGATTGAAGGGTTTGCTCCAGTGAAAATGGCTGGGATTGAATGGGTTAAAAGCGTTCACGAGAGGCACCAAGTTTGAAAGGGACAATGAAGTCAAAAGTGTTGTGAGCGACCGGCTGAGACATCAGTCCAAAGATTTTTACGCTGAGGGAATAGGGAAGCTTGTGCACAGAGGGGAAAAGTGTGCGATAGTGCTGGGAGACTACGTTGACAAAAATAAAATAAAATAAAATCTGTATTGGACGTCCTTATACCAAAAAATTCACCTGATTTATTGAATGCCCCTCATGCATTGTACGGGCCTGAAGATGAACATCAAGGATATCACTCAAATGGCTTTCCGTTTTGAATTGCAATAGCAGAGCTCGTGATTCAGGTTCATTGTTGACACAATGAGACAGTGAAGAAACTGCAACTGTCTCAACAGTACGTGTGTAGACAAATATTACATGACCGGATGCAGAGATCTTGTATCCGTCCTGCAAATTTGAATAAATAGTTTTATTATACTTTAAAAATCTTTTACCTTTATAGTGTTTTTCTATGTATGTAAATGAAGTTTGTTTTTTTCCTTATAAGGTTCCTGCGTATGAATTAGATTATTGAGAGTCCTGTGGTCCAGTAGTGATGACAAGTTGGTTTTGTGTTCGCGTTGGCCCTCCACGGGGAAAAAAATGAAGCTTGTTCACAGGTTGAAGCCTCCGGCTGTTCCAATGAACTTCCCCGAAATGGGCTGAATTTGTTTTCAAGGCTGCTCTTAAAAGAGTCCAGAAAGCCCGATACCTTCAGAAAACAAAGTGAATAAAAAAAGTTTGCCCATTTTCAGTGTGTGTTAAAAACAAACCAAAAAAAAAAAAAAACAACACATTTTGAGTTCAGTTCAATAGAAAAAAAATATCTATATATTGGCAACGATGATGAGCACAATGTGAAGTGTCTTAAAAGCATGTTTTCTAAATTCTACCCATGTCATGGATCAACACTCGGCATCCACGCTGTGAACGGTGACCGCCGCTTGGAGGTGGTGCGTGTGCAGCGGGTGATGGTGTGTGTGCGTGTGTCGGTAGGGGTAAAATTTGTGGCTGAGCAGGGCTGCCGTCTGAGGGGGGGTGTCCAGGTCCAGGTCGTCGTCGTGGTTACCGACATCGACGCCCGCCGAAAGTGGATCGTTGTTTCCCGGTGGATTCTCGCTGTCCTCTTGAGGGCTCATCGTGCTGTAGCCTGGAGAAAGCACACGAAGAATTGAATTCATACATCATGCTTACCGTGTCGCCGTGCTCTACTGCAGTTCAGCTTTGAGATCGCTGTTGAATTGTTCATGTTAAAGCAATTTCTGTTTATCTTCAAGAGTAACCAATCAGGTCCAAATTTAGAGCCCTGCGCTTTCAGTGTCGTGCCAACCCGTGGAAGAGAACCCAATGTCGTATTGTCATAATTACCGGTACAGTAAATGTGGGTGCCAGGTGGCCTGAGGTTGTGATAGTGAATGAAATCGAACTTGATGAAAATTAAAATTGAAAAAACAAAACCAACCAAAAAAGAAAAAACAACTAACTGAAACTACATCTTAAGTTTATTAAACTAACTAAAACTGTAATTATTGCGAACGTGTAGTTCATTGTTGTCTTTGTCAATTCATATCGCCTCAGCTGTCGGAGTTCATTTTAGTGCGATTGAAAATTATTTTGGTATTGCTGTGAAAGCCATGTGCGCATGACTGAGTCAATCAAGTAAAAAAAAAAAAATGGCTACCAAACAAACAGGCAGTCATTGAAGCTTGATATGCTAGTACAAAAGTGTGCGACTAAGCTTGCAGGTATGTTTAAAAGACTTGAAGCCTTCAGTGAAAAAAAAAAAAAAAAAAAACACCGGTGCACTCTGAGCCATGTTTAATGCTCTAATGGACTTTAGAGGCTTGAACATTGGTGGAAAAAAACACTCTTGGAAAGCTCCAAAAGTTCACCCAATCTCCCAACAGAAAAGGAAGATCCAGATCATAGATGTCAAACTCAGGTCCTGGAGGGACATGATCATCAGCAAGCTCTGCAGAAGCCTGACATTGAACCTGTTCATTTGAATCAGGTGTGTTGCAACACGGAGACTTGGAAAACATGCAGGACAGCGGCCCTCCAGGACCTGAGTTTGACACCTATGATCCAGATGGACATACAAGATGGACTACAATTGGAAATTTCTAGAAAACATTTATTTGTCGATATTTTGAAACCGAGGGAGCAGACAGAGGCTAAGTACGGTAAACTGGCGAGTGGACAGCGAAGCTAATGGTCAGACAGAACATGGGATTAAGCCCAACAGAATTTGTTTCGAGTAACTGTCACTTTTTTTTAACCGAGAAACGTTTCCACATTGTGTTGGTGTTAAATATTATGGGGGGCATGTGAAATTGGCAAATGATTCGCTGACTATTACGCTGCCTTCAGATCAGGGATGTGTTCCTCGAGCCGGTCCTTGGCCTCGAGGACCGGCTCGAGGACCGAAGGTCGGTCCTTGGTCCTTGGCCTTGGCCTTGAGAGTCAATTCCTTGGCCTTGGCCTCGGCCTTGGGAGTCAAGTCCTTGGCCTTGGCCTTGGCCTCGGGTTGCCGGTCCTCGGACACAATGAGGGATT